TTTATCTATACTTAAAATAAATCTGTAGAGAGGTCAATTCTGTACATGAAATATATTTCCAAAATAACTATCGGCGGGTGATTAGTGATCGATACTGATGCCAAAAATGCAATCAGTAAAATTTTTGTCTGTCTGTCTGTATTTTCATTATAGAAACAAAAAATACTCGACGGATTTCAACGAAACTTGGTACGATTATTCTTTATACTCCTGGGCAGGTTATAGTATACTTTTCATCACGCTACGATCAATAGGAGCAGAGCAGTGACGGTAAATGTTGAGAAAACGGGAGAAGTTACTCCATTTTTTTACTTCCGTCGCATGTGCGGCGATAATGGGCACTTTTTAAAATGTAAAAATGTCCACCCGTGCGACGCCGGGACGGGACTGTAGTATACTATATATACATAGAAATGATTGCTACTTATAATAATTGAAACAATTTTTTTTTTTTTTAATAAAAAAACAATTAGGTAGTGTACACAACAACGTGACTTGTTTTCATAAAATAAACAGGATCATACGTAGTTATAGTACAGCGTAGTACCCATTCATTAGGGCAGGCGAAGTATTGAATTAGTTAAATTACATATTATGTATGAGTACGTACTACAAAGTAACTTGTTCATCTGTGAGTGTATTGATGTGTAAATTGGGCGTTGTTTCCAGGAACTGAGCTACAGTATGTACCATTATTTGCTCTGTATCTGAAGTTTCAATTTATTAGTTCGTAAGTTGCGCATTTCTGGAATAAGATCGGTTGTTTCGTTTCCGTGTGACTTTTTATTTATTTAATAAACTTTATTGGTCAAAAGAAAATATGGTGCAAAAGGCGGACTTAATGCTAGTAGAATTCTCTACCAGTCAACCTTTGGGATGAACAGTGAATCACGAAAGCGGTACTTCATTATTGTATTAATGTATACTTATACAAAGTAAATAATATATATATATATATATATATATATATATATATATATATATATATATATATATATATATATATATATATATATATATATATTCCTTCATATTATTAGTTTGCACGGGAGCACGGGAAAATTGTCGGCATAACATTGTGGTAAACAAATAAATATACCGTCGAAAATAAAACCTCCACTTTTTTTATGTCGGTTAAAAATTCAAACTAATTTGAGAACCTTCTTTCGAAAATTCTTTCTAAATTCATGTTTAAAAGAATAGTTCATGATCACCTTATAAACTCATTACAACAATAGTAGCTAATCATCATATTTTATATATAAATTATATGTCATTTACATTATATATATATATATATATATATATATATATATATAATATATATATATATATATATATATATATATATATATATATATATATATATATATATATATATATATATATATATATATATATAAGAAACACAGCCATGTAAACACAACTGCTTTACGGTTGAAACACGAATGGAACAGAGGTAGCCAAGCAATCGACTTTGTTGTTTCGAATGCATGTTTAGAAAATCGCTTTTTATGGGTAACTAGTGACCCGCGCCGGCTTCGCACGGGTGCGATATAGAAACAATGCGATGTCAAGTGGAGTGAATTATAATAATATTACTATTGTACTCATCTAAATAACTTTCCAAACTCTATATAATTTACTACTACATTACTACTACTTAATACATTTTTCTGAACATCAAAATAATTATAAAAGCTATCTCTGTATAATATCGAATGCCATCGCTCACATTCTTGCGATATCAATAAAGAGGAACAATTTCCATCACAGTACATTATTTTATTATTATATATTTCAGCATTTTCGATGAAAACTCTCAGTCGACTTGATTACTTCTAACTTTTTTTTTATACCGTTAAGGAGGCAAATAATTATCCTGAACAATTATCGTTATATTTGAACAAACTAACACAAAACTATATGTATAAACCTTCCTCTTGAACCGCTCTATCTAATGACGATAATCGTATTCAAATCCGTTGCGTAGTCCAAAAAATCTAAGCATACTACAGACGGCGGGGAATGACTTTGTTTTAAAGATAACTGGGTACGGAGGAATAACACCTGAGTCCTCAGGAATGGCAAAGCATGGAGGGTATCATGGGCGAAACAGTATACTCTGTTATGTCCATGGTACTGCTTATGTGTATAGGCGACGGTTACCACTTTCCATCAGGTGGGCCGTCAGCTTGTTTGCCATTTTAAGTTGTCTATCTATCTATCCTATTTAAGAGCTGCGCTCTTGTCGGTGGAGCTCTTGCCACTCACTACGATTTTCAGCGAGTCTCTTCACCTCTTGATACGACACGACACCAACTCCATCCTTGATCTGCCTGATGTAACTATGTCTCGGTCTCCCTCTCCCCCTTCTTCCATCTATCTTACCTTCTATTATAATGTTCATAAGTTCGTCGTGTCGTATCAAGTGTCCCAACATTTTTCCCCTTCTGTCCTCAATAGTTCTAATAATTTGTCTTTTTCCTTAACCCTAAGCAGGACCTCCTCATTGCTAATTGGATCCCTCCAGCAAATTTTCTCCATCCTTCTCCAGCACCACATTTTAAGTTGTATATAAAAAAAAGTAATTTATCGATACAAACTATGGAATACATGAATGTACTATTTCATGCATCAGATTGTCTATTCATCATTCTAGCTCTGTACTGGCTTCACAAATAACACCAACCTATTTTCAGCCACGTGGCATACAAAAATGTAATTGTATAAAACAATTGGAACGACCGAATGTTGGTGCTAACACGAAATTGTTGTCATGTTACAAAGCAGATTTGCAATCCCGCTCTGTCGGCTTACACGAGCATAAAATCGATTCGGATATTTGACAAACTAATGCAAAAAAGACAGTTTCGCACAATCGCGTATATATTAGATTTCTGTAACAGAATTACATATATTTTCGTGGTGTGGTTCGCGATACACAATTATAATTTGAACTTTACTATTGTCCCGTAAACGTTTTGGAACCTTTTGGAAAACCTTTTGGAACTTATCAAAAATTATTTTATTATATATTTTTTATAATATTACACAAATAAAAAAATACCTTATATTAAAATTGGTAGTTTCATATAAAAAATATATACACATTTATAAATCGCAATAATTTTACATGAGTTTAATCTTGTAACGGATGGACCGTTAAACATCAATTTCATAAAATATTTAAAAAAATTACATATATTGAACCTATAGTATTACTGTACGTTGTAATTTTAAAACAAAACGTTCACCATTACAGCAATAAGGAGTTGAATTTCGAGATAAAAAATGCTCTAAAAAGATTTATCCTGCTGAGTACAGAACCCTCAAAACGTAATAGGGATGGGTATATGGTGCCTGTGCTTATAGCAATTTACTTGTAAAACAAAAAGCTGCATCTCAGCATTAGAACGACTCATTCTCCTGAAAAGCTCCTTACAAGTATTAGGGAAAAAGGTCGCACGGTACCAGGTGAACAGCACCATAAAAAGGTTAACTTAATTATGGGCGTTTTACTCGCGTTGCGACGCTCGCGGTTTCACGCTCACTTGCTCGAGAGGCTCTTTGGTACATTTTTATGTCCGGCACATTTTTCTTTATACCTACTCCAGTTTTCAAGATTTCCTATTTGTCGTTACGCTCATAAGTAAATTTAATCTCAAATTGTCTTTAAAGTTACACTACAAGATGGCATGTAAACAACAAAGATAAAAAAAATATATTTATATCTGCTAATAGGTAAGGAATTTTATTTCATTAGATATATGTTACCTTTTTTAATGAACTTTCCTCTTTTTAGAGCAAAGCATGCTTTGCTCTTTTGAGGGCGAAGCGATAAACTGAGTTGTGACCATTTTGTATTGTTATGGCACACGCACAAAAGAAAAAATTGTACTTAGATTTATGTATTTTTTTTAATCATTTATATTATCTCGCTTTTTATGTATATCTATATATGTTATAATTTGTTTGCTGTAAGTATATGCTAATAAATCATCTATCTATCTAACTAAAACCTACAGTGATATGAAATAGTAAAGAGAATTGAATATTAATAATATATAATTATTCTTAATAAATGCGTTAAGTCAATCTTTTGTGCAGTATCTGTGTTCATTATTACGGATAAAGCTCCTCGTCCCTGTTGAGTCCCTAGTAGTACTCGAACGAGACTAAAAGCTCTCCCACGGTCGACAAAATTGAACTTCATTACTTTGTACTTAAAGTTGTAAGTAGAAGTCACTAAAACAATTCTCGATGTTAGTTGAAACAAACACGGGTTAGTTTTAGCCTGATCGATATCTTATTTATGTTTATTAGTTGTTGGAGAATCGTCATTTTCATTATAACCACGCCTTAACGTCCCACCGCTGGACACAACTCTCTCATCATTGGAGTAAAATATAGCTAGCCTACTATAAACAGATAGAACAAATCGCTTTACATTGAAACTTGTGAAAATATTTCAACATGATTCGAGTACATTCATTTATATCAATTTTAAATCGTCATTTTTTTTTAAATCTACTGCAAGGTTCGGAAAGTTATTACCTGTTAAGAAGAGATCGCAAGAAACTCAACAGTTACTCTTTTAAATCTCTGTTTTGTGTATTTATTTTAATGTTGAAAATTAGATGGTCGTTAAAAGCCCGTGTATGATCAACTTAAACCATACACAATTGTCATTCAAGTAATCATTTAGTGTTCAATAAATGTTTTTAATAACAGTTTAAACTTATTAAAAGGTAGATCCAAAATATCCTTCGGTATCTTATTATAATATTTAATGCCCATTCCTATAAGAAACCTAGTAACTTTTTCTAAACGATACTTCGGAACAGCAAGTTTGCATTTGTATCTAGTGTTAATATTATTAAGATCGTTGTTTTTAAGAAACATTTGAAAATTCCTGTGTATATACAAAATGATTGCGTGTACATATGTATTGTGAAGCTACGGTGAGAATACTACACTTACTAAACTAAATAACTTACCGAAAACGCTTTCAAAAACACGAGGCACTGTATGATGCCCTCCATAGTGTCACCGGTCAGGCAGAATGTACCCGTCAAATGGCGTCCCTTCTTGTCGCCGAGAGCCGGCGCGGCGGCCAAGCTGGCGTGGACCAGAGCTCCACGCGGTCGTGCGTCCCTAGTAGCGCCCAGGACGCCCGGCAGCGGCGCGCCTTCCATAAGCCTCGCCAACGGGTCCATGCCCGTTATACTACCATGGTAATATAAGCACACTCTCGCATTCTTATTTCACTTTTAATCTTGTTTATTGAGCACTTTTTGGCACTTTAATGTATTTGAATTGAAAAGAAAAAACAGGAGCTAGCCGAATGGTAGCTCTCGCTTTATGGCCGCTCGATCACATCGATACGCGACGACACAGACAGAATAGAAGGGGTGAACGCTCTTTGACACAGGCTTTTGCACTCCTCGCACTGACACTTCTGGTGGTCTGCATTCCAGCATTCACTATTCAAGATCAATGTCACAAAAGTGTAAATCAACACAGCCATTCCCACAATTATGTATATTTCCATACTGCACTGAATTCACTATTTAGGTTTTTTGACACTTTTTTGGCACACAAATTGCAGAAGCGCTAGCTGTTTAGTAAAATATTATATAGATTCTATCATTTAGTCCATAACATAAACATCAGTGGCGTGTATATTGTAAACGGATCCGCGACAATACTACGAATATATTGGTGAAACTGCGCGGGCATGTAAGTAGTTAAACTTCAGAGAGGTATTAATAAAATCGAATATTCCTTCGTACATTAATCATTTTAACGGCATTTGTTGAAAACAAATGCGGGCAGGGGCGCGACCGGCGGTTATGGGACAGCCGGTGATTTACATACAACGCGCGAACGGACGGCCCATTTTAATAGAATCATTCGAAACATCAGCTACTTTGCATATAAAAATAATTCCCGACCCTGTCGCTGGGCAGTCGACGTGTTGATTGAGGTATCATAAACAATTTACACCCCTCATTACAGCTTTTTGATGAAAACTAAACGATAGTAGAAAAAACGTAAAAAAATACATTCTATACAAATTGGGTTATTTATATTACCTAACAAGAGAGTAGGTTACACAAAATAAAAGTAGCAGCAACTTATTGCATACTACAATAATCGAATTACAACGTACAGTGATTAAATGGACGACGATTATGGGAACAATTGCCAGAGTAAAAAATGATACCATATGAATGATATTATTTAGTTTGTTTAATGAATTCTTTGAATTTAAGCCTATGGACAACCGCAATAACATTTACTAATGAAATACGGATATAAACGTACTCAATAAGCAACATTTAGTTAAAGTTGGAAAGAACGAATGTTCTCTAATAACTATTTCTCCACTAACCGACACTTTAGCCGCTTCTACCTCTTCTGCTTTCACAAATAACAAAACTAAAGGAAAATCATTATTTCTATCGCACTTATTCGGAAAGTGAGTTAGTGCTACTTCGATAATAGCGTTCAAAGTTGCTCGTAACTTTCTTTTTGAAAGGAAAAATGTATTAGAATTCATATTGTATACACTTTAGCAATAACCACGTCGATAGGTTTTTACAAACCTGGCTGATGTGAAGTCTTTTGTGCTGTATTTTCAGTTTCTATACGTTAAAACACTTTCATAATCACAACGTCAACGGTCAAAGCCTTTTAAACGAAAATTTAATGAAGAATATGTGTATTTTTAAAAACTTACATAAACATAAAAAGGAAAAAAGAAAGTAAACTTAAATTTAAGCATTTTTGAAAATAGTAATTTTTGCATTACCGGAATTGCAGGAATTTACCAGAGGGAGACTTTGTACAAAAGCGATTGCTTGGGTACCTCTGTCCCATTTTCAACCGTGTTTCAACCGTGAAGTTGTGTTTGCATGGCTGTGTTTCGGTTTGAATGGGCGGACCATTTCTGGGTACAGAATAATATTGTAATACTATTTATATTCAGATAAAAATATGATTACTAGCAGAGGTCACCTACTACATAGCTCTATATTCGTAAATCATTGGGGAAAAACAAGATTGTTAGATATTTACTCAGGCAATACCTACATATGGTACATGAACAGCATGTGTACTTTTTCTAAACTCTTTTTCTTGTTATCTGTCTCATTGTTCAAGAGACAATTCTATTGCTGTAAATTGTAGAGAACGACGTCACATAAAGTGAATTTATATTAATCAAAGTAATGTGGTAATCCATCAGATAGGTTGTAACAGAAATATCATAGCTTGGATATGAGGCGGTACAACAACAAACTCATTCCCGGCTGATTGGCTCATTGTGCCGGGCTCGCGGAATTTTATCTCCTCACGTGCCCTCGTTCAATCACAGTGTATTCAATCGAGTGGTACACACTCATATCCTATTATATTTCAAATTTCTATATCTCAAGATATGAGTCTATGAAACGAAATAGTTTTTCGATTACAATTTTCTTTTCCTTCTTTTCTGATGGTTTCATAATCTGTGATTCTGTCAAATAAGACAAATATGATATGACTGAACATAGTACAGACGTAGTATTAGCAATTTTTTTACTGAGACACTTTTTTAACTGTACTGTTGCTTTGATCTTTAGTAAAGTATATTTATGAGGACATTGAGAAAATCAATAATAAAATCAATCAAGAGAGTTTACGTCGCGTATGGGGTCAGACCACTATCTATTACACTTCAGTCTTTTGTGCTTTGAACGCGCAGACTTGTGGCTTTTTAAAGTTGAAGTGAACAAGACTGAAGAAATAGTTTCAAATCTCTTTTTGGCCAGCAGCTTTAGCTTTATCATTACTTCTCATATACAAAAACTCAATTTAATCCTGGTCTGGTCATGTCTGCCACGAATAATGTATATTGATGATTTGTTGGAATTTGGAAACTGAAATAATACAAAAAACATCAAAAGAGTAACAAGTGCCACTAGACATTGTTACATTTCTTTTGATGTCATTGTTACATAATTTATAAGCATCCACAACCACTCGATTATTATTATAACTCGAGCCTCGTCGAATGAAGGCCTCAGTTCCTGTACCGGTGAGTTTTCAATTAAACCAATATTTTCGTAGCGAGTTCCGCTCACTTGTTCTAACTTCTTTCAACAACATTTACGTTCAGACAAACAGTTTAACCAGAGCCCAAAATTCCACTTCATTAATAACAAATAGAGGAAAGTAAACGATCAGAAGGCCAATTTATTGGATCTATTAGTGATACAAGTTATAAAAAAGAATATAGTAAAGTGAAATATAATCAATTAGAAGGATTTACAAAAGTGCGAGACAATAACAACAATTATAGAATACTAAGAGGTAACGAGGTACCAAAAAACAGACTTTGTGCCGAACTAAAAAAAGCATTTTAATAACTCGTGATTACATTGTAAACCCCATTTGCAATAGAACCTCGAGCCTTATTCATGCAGAGCAACAAAGACGTAAGCATAAATAAATTATCTGCATAAATACTGAACAGATCAATACAGATACGCACCAGTTTCTATGCATATAAAACAAATAACGTCTTTGTGGCGGTGCCAGCGAACCGTGCGATCGACAAAACTAATCTGTCCAATACATTTACTAGACTTTATGCGCAACTTTGTAAGCATGTTGCATATTTGTTTCTTTTTTATTATCATTTTAATTTGTTTTTGTATCGATGTATTTAGTTCAATCTACGTGCTCGCAGAGCGAATGTAATTTTATAGTAGATATATCTACTACTATGATCAATTATTTGTTAAAAATATTAGAATAAAGCACACGCTAGATTTACGAACAACAATGTCGACGTTATTTATTTCTGTACATCCTGAATGTGAAGATCGTTTGAATCGAGATACGCGAAATACAGTCAACATTTGAAATTTTCAATCAGAGTCTTAATCACTCTTCAGGTATAATAACGTTTAGCTTTATAAAGATAAAGTCGCATTTCGTAGACTGACTCTTGCTTATTTCACGAGTACAATATTAATATGGAGTGAGCTCCCATTTCATTCGTGTAGATTAGTACTAATGCGCGCGATGGGTGCCGCCGTATGAGATATTAATGTATTCTCTACATATATGATAAATTAGTGTTATATGATAAATTAATGTTCACTATGGACAAGATACTTAATCCCGTACAGTTTTGCTCGTATTTGCTAGTCATCTATCTTTTTCACTTGTAACTAAAATACATTAAAGATTGCTCTCAGCAATAAGACCGCCTTACTGTACTTGTACAATTGTATCGTTATATTTATTAATTGTATTGTTTTTTTCCCTATATTGTATAACACAAATAAAGTATACTCATTCATTCATTAAATGTTGAAAAGAAATCAAGAAATCAAGAGTCTAACTAGTTGTAAGCATAATTTGTTTATTATTAAAAATAATCGAAGAATTTTAAAATTCCCATTTTAAGAATGATAATTTAAAAAAAAACCCAAGCAAAGTAGAACATTGATTACAGAACAGTTGCACATAAACCTACTACAATAAACTTTACAACTTTATATTTTGTTTTTGATGTTTCCACATTATTTTTACTACCGAAATACAAAAATTCAGTGATAGAATATGAATGCAAGGATACCATTTCAGTTCACTAATAAAGCACTTTTTTTTCCAACACAGGGGGCAAACGAGCATGCGGCTCACCTGATGGTAAGTGACTACCGCCGCCTAATTTAATACATTTTAAATAATTGGGAATTAACGCAACAATTTTCAATTGTTATTGAAAAATTACAGTACAGTTATTGTAACATTTCAACATGAACGCTCGCGTTACGGTTTGAAACCAGAGTTTCTGACAATTGCTTCGTGAAAGAGTTACTAAACATTTTTATCTCTTTATAACATCATTAAAAACTTCTCTACAAGGGCTGTTAACTAACTAGCGGTTTGTGAGTAGGGTAACAAATACTTCGCCATCACTGTTAAAATAAAAATATCTCCATGTTTTCTACAGTACGATAGAATGTTGTATAACTAGGTCATATAAATACATACAATAGATATCATAAATATATATATATATCAATGATTGAACGTAATTCTTGGTACATAAGCATAGGAATTTCTCTACCCAACACGCATTCCTGTAAAGCGCCTGCAATAGAAACATACAGATGGTCTGGATGCGGTTTGTGTGATTATTGTCAATAAGCCTATTTACACATTAAAAAATCATAGTTTAAAAGTTGCTCTTGTAGAAAACTCAAATATAAATCGTATAATATCCATAATAAATTATCAACTTTGTGATGGCAAAAAAAAATAGTAAAATACCAATTTTCTCTGATTTTAAATGAAATTGAATTAAATTATATTTATCTGCAATGAATTACAATTTGTTGTGATTATTTTTTAAGGTAAACAGAAAGCCACTTTTTCGACAATCATTTAGAAATTTTAAAAAAAGTTTTGTTACTGACAACTACCAAATAATATTGGTTTCAGTAAAATTTCTCTTAAAGCAAATTAGACGATGTATTTGTAAAGGTCAACTATACCTAACAAAAAAGGTTTAAGTTGGGTCGAAAAAGAAAAACAAGCATAATAATAATCATCATTTAT